TTAGGCTAGCCCACAAACACACACCGTGATCAATCTGGACATGGCTAACATACTCTTTTGTATATTCTGGAAGGGAGTTACTTTGATCTACTGCAATAGACTTTCAATATGTCTCAATGATTCTCTTCTCCAAACTGTCACAAAATTGTTCAATCACAGATAATTTTCAACCTATTTGAATTGTGAATTTTCTTTTCCAAAAATTAGTTTGAACAAAAATCACACAAGATAGAAATCATCTGTAGAACACTCTGCGATAATTTATACCTCTTTTTAATTATTATAACTGTAGTATCATTTGCAAATTATATAGACAAGTATAAATAGAGAACAACTGGCGAACATGGGGGACAGCTATACCAAGTAAACTCGGTTGCTGTTCAGGACACGGAGAACTGTTTTACGGCTACAACTATGCAGAGAGATAAGCAAACCATAGCATTAACCAAATCCAGCAAGTAGAAAGGTTTCCATGGCTAGGAAAAGTGATTTAACAGATGGTCACTGGAATTAGAAGTCGCATTGGAATAACGAATGTTGCCTTCTAAAAGCTAAGATATTAAGAAACAGGAAATATTCGTTAGAATCAAAGAAAAGTGTACAGGAGTGTTATACCGTCTTATATCAATCCTCTTACATGGCAGTGTATTCTGGACAATCTCATCATAGGTGATGAAGATACCTGTAGCAACAGAAATAGGGTTCTACAGAAGGATGCTGAGAATGATATAGACTAAACTTGTGGCCAATTATGATGTTTCCGAGAACATGGACACAAAAACGATATTTATACTTAGAAAAAGAAAAGGTGAAAATTTCTAGGGCGCATAATGAGGTAAGATGGCTTAGTAAATTTGACACGCCCAGGACACTAGGGGAGCAGTGAAAATTTCCTTACATCTGCATTCTTCATGGATACTCCATGTCAAATTAGAAGCTGATAGGTTGAGATTTAGGCTGCACTATTTTCAACTGAAATTTAAAAATGTTCTTTATGTTATGTTGGTGGAGTGTAATGTAAACATTGTACAAATGTACAATGTTTACCTTCAGTTTTGTTCATTCATTCTTTTTTTTTTTTATCAGCTTAAATGAACAATTAGCTATTGAGATGTCATACTGTATTAACAAGGGCAGCCACAGATCATGCATTGTTTTGCTCTGCAAGTGTTCTTCCAATGGACAAACCTCCCTCGAAAGAACTGCTGGCGATATAAATGTGATGAAAAGAAGTTTACAGGATTGTTCAGCAAAATATGGGAAAAAGGAACTGGAGACAGACAGATCATTTTGCAGACAGACCATTCCTCTTCTCAGCGAGAAAACTATTGAAAAAAGTTTGTGAAAATTATAGTATAGGCGAATTGAAGTTAACAAGAACAAGAATGCGGGCAAAAAAGCAGCATTTCCGCAAAAAATGGAGGGATAGTTTGAAATCTGTCACTGTTAGCGTCTTCCTATCTCCTGTCAGGATGTGAAGTAAAAAGTTAAGAAATGTAACAGATATCATCTAACCTGTAAGTGAGATATAAAGTTCCCAAAACTTAAGGTGCAGTTCATCCTTGACCAGCGAGGTGAGAGGAAGATGAAAATTTACCAGCGTGATGAGAGGAAGATGAAAATTTACCATCGAGATGATAGGAAGATGAAAATTACCAGTGAGAGGATAGTAAGATGAAAATTTACCAGCGAGATGACAGGAAGATGAAGATTGCCAGCGAGATGAGAGAAAGATGAAAATTACCAGCGTGATGAGAGGAAGATGAAAATTACCAGCGACATGATAGGAAAATAAGAATTACCAGCGAGATGATAGGAAGATGAAAATTTACCAGCGAGATGAAAGTTACCAGTGATATGATAGGAAGATTAAAATTACCAACCAGATGATGAGTCGGTCAATTATGTGACAGGCTTGATACATGCTTAGGCGATCATGTATCTTTCGATACAAGACTGACGAAGTAGATTTTTGTCCCCGCAGTATGTTACTATTTCTTTCTGCGGTAGATCAATTGTCGTCCAGGGCTATAGAACTAGGTCTGACCTGCTATTTACACATAGCTGGTGGGAGAAGAGGATTCACACCTTTTCCAAGGGTATTAGCGCATAAGTGAATGTAACGGAGTCGACTGGAATTCGAAGTTGGCTTTCCGATTCTTCAATCCGAGCCGCTATCCATTATTCCACCGTGCCTCCTAGCGAGATGATAGGAAGATGAAAATTGCCATGAAAGTAACGATGATGTGAGAGAGAGTACCGCTAAGAGAGAACCATGATGCGGACAGAACCCACAGACATCTTGATCAAAGACATAAAGATCTGGTGCCTCGATATATTCCTTGTGTTGATGATATTTTAGATGATTCGAAACGTATCCATCCTGTCGACACTGATACTGACTTTGTCCTTGATCTCAAATTTCTGACAGACACCAGCTCAGAGACAGGACAAGACTCACCACATTGTCTGAAGCTTATGATCGATTCTTGATTAGTGATTATGCTAGAGCTGCCATTGCAACTAATTTCTGATCTGGTTATGGCATTATTACAAAGGATGACAAGAGTCAAGTTATTGGAACACATAAGCTACGAGATGTGAGACAAAAATATCGATTGAAGAGGCAAGAAATTCAGATGGCTAGTTTTGAAAATACAACGTCACTCTATTTTGATGGTAACAAGATCTCCATTCGTGTGATGATAAAGAATGAGGTCAATAAATCGCGTTCGATGAGGATGATGCAAAATCATTATGTCATCATGGTTGAGCCTGGCTATGAATATCACACATTTGACTCCCAAGACTGGACACGGAAATCAGATTGCCAAAACCGTTCACGAGTTTCTGGTGGAGAAAAATCTAACCCAGCATTTCCCTGTATGTATTGGTAGTGATAGAACCAGTGTAAATATTGGATCAGAAAATGGAACCATTTAAACTCTTGAAATGTTACTTGGTCACCTGCAAAATTTATTTCATCTATCAGCTTCACAGAAATGAGCAGATCAATGAGCCTTTGTCTGAGCTGCAAATTGTTACCATCCACCCAGTCAGTTTTACTGACTTCCCTGTCCTGAAGCAAGAAGTGAAGAAAAATCTATCCTGGGATCAGAAATACCTGTATAGGATTTGTAAAGGGGTTATCAAAGGTGTTGTTGATGATAACTTGGCTGCTATTGAGCCATGTCCTCTCTGCGTGTCAATGTAGAATACTTTATGGAGTAGAATCCCCAGGCTGTATGTACAGCTTCAAGACTCAGAAACGAACTGAAAAGAATCGTCATTATATTTATAAAATTCACTGCTCCAATGTAGTTCTACATCAAGATGCACTCTTACGTAGCACAGGGTTCAAGGAACATATTCCAATCTCTGCTATATTTGAAAAAGCTGAATAGTAAGGAGAAGACGATAGTGAAGGAAACTATCCCGAGAAATGCATACTTCGCCCACACAGATCAAATTTTTCTTGGTATTTGTGTAGATGAGGATGTGTCTGTTACAGAAAAATTCGTCCCAATGTTAAGAAAAATTAGAGATTAGAATCAGCAGATGGAAGAATGCAGTGACAAATCTGCGGAGAAAAAAGATTTTGCGTCTACTGTTGACGAGGATTTGTTCAACTACACTGATGAGGAGAAAGACAGCACAGATGGACATGCGAGTAAGGATGTACCTCTTATAGTCAACATGAGAAAACTGGGGACCCCAAACTAAAGAGGGAAGCAAAAAACTATCATTCCACAGCTAACCGGGTGAATGACTTCAAAACTGAACCTTCTTACATTTTTTCTCCATCAAGTCAACACATTAATGACATTCTTGGGAAACCATTATCAGTACCGAAGTGGACGAACACTACTCAGGCGGTCAAAAGAGGGATAAAATGGTGACTGTATGTGTGATGTAAAGTTCCCAAAACATAAGGTGCAGTTCATCCTTGACCAGCGAGATGAGAGGAAGATGAAAATTTACCAGCGAGATGAGAGGAAGATGAAAATTACCAGTGAGAGGAGAGGAAGATGAAAATTTACCAGCGAGATGAGAGGTCGATGAAAATTACCAGCGAGATGTGAGGAAGATGAAAATTTACCAGCAAGATCAGAGGTAGATGAAAATTTACCAGCGAGATGAGAGGAAGATGAAAATTTACCAGCGAAATGAGAGGAAGATGCAAATTACCAGCGAGATGATAGAAAGATGAAAATTACCAGTGAGATGAGAGGAAGATGAAAATTTACCAGCGAGATGATAGAAAGATGAAAATTTACCAGCGAGATGAGAGGTAGATGAAAATTTACCAGCGAAATGAGAGGAAGATGAAAATTTACCAGCGAGATGAGAGGAAGGTGAAAATTTACCAGCGAGATGAGAGGAAGATGAAAATTTACCAGTGAGATGAGATCTCGCACTGAGGTGACGGGATAAAAAGCGAGAAAATGGATATATTAGGTAATTTTATCGTGTTGGAAAATGGTGCCCAGGTTCCACACAAAAAATATTTCATCATTAATTTTTATTATTTTAATATGATGTACCTTGAATAATATTGGAATTAAAATTGATGCTACCGATGTAAGATTTAGTATTATCCTAACAAACAATAAGTGGCACCTTTTTCGGCGTGTACAGCAAAACTAAACAGGAAGTCGGTCGCAATGCTGCAGGGAAAGTGGGCATGATATGGCCTGAAATTTTTCACATGTATTTGATACAATCATACAAATGATGCATGAAAAATTCAACCTTCAACTCAAAAAATACTTTTTCCCTACATGGCATACTGAAAACAAGAGACAGGGGTAAGCTATCACCTACCTAACGTGTTTATGTAAATGTTTGGCTGAACAGGGATTAGGAGAAATGCTAAAAATGAAAACTTATCTAACAGCTACAAAGGACAGGAAATTGTTGAGTCATGATCGTACACTTCCTGAATGTAGACACCACATAAAACAGCCAAATACTGACATTATTTAAGGATGAATACCAACCTGGGTGTTGCATGTAACGTAATGTTCTGTGTTCCCTCGGCATCTTTCTCCACCAACCTGGACGGAAATCGACCTACAACGAGATGAAAATTCAAAGTGTTATTAATGTAAGCGATATTATTTGTGATAATGGTAAACAGTAATATCATAATTATAGCATAAAAATTATTACGTTTAGAATAGAATTAGATGATTTATTCATTTGAACCATTTGTTTTATTAAAAACAATCATCTTTATAAACAACAGAGTTTAAATTTAAAATTCATCGGCTCTTTTTCTGGCACCAAATGTTATTGAAAAATCTTGATGACAATGACAAAAATAGATAAGTAAAGGTAAATATAAGCCAAAAACATGAACAATACATTATTTTCTAATCTATTCCAGAATTATACCAGTTCTTCTAGTTCGGATGCCTTAAGATCTCTTCTTTTCTTGTTTATTACACCCACGCATAAAAAATTTAATCAAGAATTTAATCAAATTCAGTGCTAATTATTGCGAACAAAATATTAAGCAACCCGGTTACTGCTCAAAATATATTAAAGATATTTTTTTTAATAATTTACTCATTTATTTATTGATAACTTTGCAATTTTAATAAAAGAATTCATTTTTCTAAAAGAAACATCCAACACACACACATACACACACACAAACACACATACACGCACACACACACGCACACACACACACACGTGTGTGTGTCTTTGTGTCTTGGAAGTTCCTTTTCAGAAAGGGAATTTTTTATACATACATACATACATACATACATACATACATATACACACACACACACACATATATATATATATATATATATATATATATATATATATATATATGAATATATATATATATATATATATGAATATATATATATATGTATATGTGTGTGTGTGTGTACATATGTATATAGCCGCACTAAGGAGCTGTGATTTTTTGTACGTACTTACTCTGCGAATAAACACGCCAATGACTGACAGTGCTCAATTCAGGTAAAGGAAAAAAATTAGTAGTAATAGTCATTGTTTACAAATTCGCACTTATCTCCCAAGAGTACACAACTGAATTTAAGTTTTACACACACACACACACACACACACACACATATATATATATGGTATATTTCAAAGGTTAAAACTAGAAATGATATTAGCGAGATTAAGAGGGGGAAATTGAATCATTATAGAAATATAGTTGATTTGATTTCTTTGTTTAAGGTCATCTCAACTCTTTATGGGTCATTTAATGTCGAAATTTAGTTTTATTGGGAGCTTTGTATAAGTACAAGTGTCGGTGATAAGTATGTTTATCTTGTAGTTTTGCTGAAGTTATATTTTGTGATACAGTTTGAGTTCTTTAAGCAATTGTTGAATATTACATGGATTGATCTTATGGAAGAGTTCTTTCATTTTGGTTGTTTGCCTGATTTCGTTTAGCAGTATATACGGGTCATCTAAAGCCGAAATATAATCTTACTCTTCAACTAATTATAGTTTGAACGCAAGCATATGCCATCAACTACAGATAAAATTTATTTTTGCTTACTTTACTGTAAATATGTATTATTGGTCATTTTTATTATGAAAATATATGGCTAGTATTTTTATATTTTCATAATGTTCTGTTTTGGCGTCCACTCTTTGCCCATAATTGTTACCCCAAAAGGTTCTACCACCAAGTGTCAGGGTGGACCTGGGAACAACAGCAATTAAGAGAAAGTTCCATGCTTTTAAAAAGCTCCAATCTTCCGATCAAACGCTTGGCTGCCAGATGTAGTTTTTCGTCAGGACTAGATGAATATAACTTCAAACAAATAATATATGTCAAGTATAATAAAACATTTTATGTAATTTTACTTTGTCCATTGTATTAGTGTTAGAAGCCTCATAAACTTTTGCCAAGAAAATTGGAATTGTTTTCATCCAGATTTCCTTCATAGCATTTAAGCTCATTAGAAAAGATAAATTCGAATAATATTGGAACGATAGCAACGTCCGATATTTTATACGCAGTAGACTAATTTTGGAAAAAAGATGTTTTGATTTGGTTTCAGAGATATGGTGTATTGTAATGCCACCTGTGTCTCTCAAAGAAAAATCTGGATAAGTAGAAAGCTGATAATTAATATATAGAGATGGAAAGTTTTAAATAATTATCTCTACTTTAAATTATCGTATGAAAAGTAGATTCATTAATATCTCATTTTGGAACTGACTCCTCTGATTGTAGTGAAAATAATCATTGGCAGTTTATCATGAAATTAACAAACACATTTTTAGTGTTTTATTTTTAATTAATTACATTCTACATGCTTTAATTGTTTAAATGTAGAAAGTAACAAAATGATATATATATATATATATATATATATATATATATATATATATATATATATATATATATAACAGCAGCATGGCCCGGCGTTGCCCGTGCTTGATTCAAAATCGTATGACTCATACAGCAATCGCTATCACTTGACTTGATGCTCGATAGATATATATCAATATATAACTGAACATTGAGGTCATCACGCAGTGGCGACAGTCTGTTTCATGCTGAAATGCAATTTCCACAGCTGAAAATTGCGTTTAATATATATATTGACTAGCAGCAAGGACCGGCGTTGCCCGTGCTTGATTCAAAAATCGTACGACTCATACAGCAATCGCTATTACTTGACTTGAAATATTTTTGCCCCTCCTTGCCTTTAAAGGAGTGCCCTTTGCTGTGCTGATGTTGTTACATGCCTTACTTCTTGCCTATCTCACACTGCGCGAATTTTTCTAAGCTCTATACTAAACATTAAATCTGTTACGAAAAAGAACTAAACAAAATGAACACAAACGATCAGCTTTAAAAAAGGACTCGTAACTGGAAAAAACCGAATGAAAAAAGAATGTTAACAACAAATACTTTTTCACACCCAATCCAGTTCTGCGGAATCAGAATCAACATTGAGTTTAAGCAAGTGAATGAGCCAATTGGAGTAAAGTGCCATGCAGATTTAAATTTTTTCCACTTATGACGAATTCAGCTATCGATTTTTTTTGCATGCTAGCATGCTAGTTAACATTCGTGTCAGTCAGTTGTTGGCTCTCACGCTGGCCAATAGAATCTTCCTGTCTATTCGTGGCAGCCAGCTATAGGCTCTGACTCTGGCTTGTAGAAAATGTCAGCAAACTACATGAAAACTGCTGTAGAAGCATGAAAAAATCGATTATTTCCACTATCGATGAGAGTTGGGAAATGCAAAGTCGGTCGTGGCCTTCCCCCTAACTTGGAGCATGTGCATGTAAATTTTGGTGCAAATCCGTCGAAAATTGCATATATATATATATATATATATATATATATATATATATATATATATATATATATTACACTCTAGTGTCTATCATACATTCCTTTCACATTCCCGTTATATTTTTTTTTTTTTTATTTTTATTTTATTTATTTTTTTCCCTTTGTGCTGTGCATATATTCGCATTGGTTTGAAATATATAATATATATATATATATATATATATATATATATATATATATATATATATATATATATATATTTCCCTCATATCATTAATCATTTCATTTTTTTTTTTAATGTTTTAATTGTATGTAGGGTTTTTGTGAATTAATATATATTTCAATAATTGTGAAATTGTTCCCAGTCGACCCTGATGAGCTTGGGAACGAAACCGGTTGGTCTGTTCTGTAAGTGTTATCATTTCTTATTTTTATTTTTCATAATGCCTTTGGGAAATAATATGTATCTACTCCTTGCAATACTACGGTTTTGTACCTCCAACAATATATATATATATATATATATATATATATATATATATATATATATATATATATATATATATATATATATATATATATTTTTTTTTATTATTTTAGCTGCTGGTAGGGAGAGGTTGATTGTGGTAGATGGTATTTACAGTACCCTAATTATTTTATTAGGTGCTTTTGTCAGTACCCTAATTATTTTATTAGATGCTTTTGTCACTACCCTAATTATTTTATTAGATGCTTTTGTCAGTACCCTAATTATTTTATATTCAATGTTTTGTTTTTTGCTTTATTTTGCTTGTGGATTTATCTTCCGGCTCTATGCATTACAGCCAACTTTAATCTGTAAAAAGTTAAATACAATATCAATGATTATCTGCTGTCTTCATGATTACACTTTTTTATTCCTAGTCATTAGTAATTGTTTTCTTTTCATAATTCTTCCCCGCCCAATAAATCTTTGTGGTTTGCATGGCGTGATACAGACTTAAATAACAGATGTATATGAATGTACATTTATATTTTTGTATGAATACAGCACCGAACATGTTAATATATAGATATATATAATAAATATGTGTATATACACCTTTGTATATTTCTGTAAATGTGGATCTATATCATATATTTGCATATATGAATATATTTTTTTTTTTAACATTTTACCCCAAGCAAGGTGGGTGTGCAAGGAGTTACAGAGAGTGAGAGCAAGAGTAAACAGGTGCGAAAGAGGAAAGGGTAGAGAGAAGGACGGGGAATAGATCAAAGCATCTGGAGATGTCGATTGACATTGCATTTGAATTATTGGAGATTATAACTATCAGTGAAGCAAGTAAGAGGAAGGGATTTTCACAGACGGGAAGTGCGAGACATTTAACCTTTTTGACAGTGAAACAGTGGGACTGAAATGCCAACCTAGTGCCACGTTTAAAATCATGCATTTTTTAACTAGCGAGAATACCTCGTGAAATATTTGTTTAAAAGACAGAGGGAGGCGACGGCAGGTCTGTGACGATCGACTGTAAATGAGATGCCATATCAGGGCCAACCATATTGCATATCCGTCTGTCTCTGGATATTATTATATCTTTTTGTACATTTGTATTATATTTGAAATTACATATAGTATGTGTATACACTGCGTGCCAAATTATTATCGAGATAACTTTTTCTAATATTTATAAAAACCGTTCAATCAATTCATACAAAATTTTCACACAATGTTGGCAACTCTTACTTGCGCAATCACTGAAATTTTCGGAATGATCTG